TAAACTTGAAGTTCAACCAAGTAGTTCCAGAAAACTACTGGGTTTTACGTAAAGTCAGTAAACTGTAGACTGCTGACTCTGGAAGAAAAGCGTATGGGGATGGATTCTACAAATTATGGCATGGATAGTGTCGTAACACGAATCATACGTGCTTTTAATAAAAAAAAAAAATGGACTGGATCCGTTTGTTGGATCTAAGCACACTTCTAAAAGGAAATTGGAAACAGAAATTTTAATTTTAATACAGTGCACATTTTAATACTGTACCACTTACAGAATTGATTTATTTTTCTTGTTTTCGTATCTATTTATTTACTAAGATTTTTTTTAATGCACTCTTTTTTCCAAGTCAGGACTGCACATTTCGTATCGCTGTACCTTTTTATGCTTATTTTTGTAAGTACGTTTGTGTTTGTTTTTTTTTTTCTTTTAGTGGTGTTAACTTTTACCTGTGTAATTGGCGCTATCTAGCTTTACCTAAAAATATTCAATGTAAATCGTTATTAAAAGCTGTTGATGTTCCGAATAAAATAAAATAAGTAAAAAATAAAAAATACATATCGACTCAAACGCTTTGAAGGTCTAAAGTACAAGCCACAACAGTTTCGGGCAAAAGGAACATATTATTGAATTTCAAAAGGAAGGACCAAAAGGAAGGAATGAGAATTAGGCTTAATTAAAGAAGACTCCTTGCCACCAATAAAATAGGGTTTGGAACGTCGCGAAAGTTTATCCGGGTACGGACGGCGTGATCAGACCTTATAACTTCAAAGTGAATAATGCCATGAGACTTTAATCGCATCTGCCCTTTGCCAATTAACGACTCGACTTCAGGGTTGAAAGACAATCCTTTTAACTCCGGGGGAATATTTAGAATAGGATCCGAAGCAACACCCGCGCCCTCGCTGCCATGCGATTTAAATCAAACGCGAAACAAGACATTTTTGAAATAAAACGTCATATATGAATGAAGATAATTAATGGTGACTGAGATTTCTCATAGATGGCGCTACGACTAAAAAGTCGTTGAAAGACCAAGTACAAAGACACGACGCAAGCACATAGAAAACTTCGTGAGGTCCGTTGGTTCGTTCCGTGGCTTAGTTGGTATAGCGTCTGGCATGGTATGCAAGAAGACGTCGGTTCGAATCCGACCGGATCGAAGGAATTTTTTCTGAGTGTTCGATCTTTGTATTAATAATTATAACAAACTAGTGAAGTAATTTCACAAAAAATAATTGAATATCAATTCAATAAAAATTTACTTAGTAAATGAATTTAATTATTCGTTGTTCTTAGAGAAATCTGTTTTTAAATTAACAGTCTGTTTCATAAACATTATTCGGTGGTTTCTTGATTGGATCAATCACAACATGATACTTTTGTTATGATACCAAGTACCGAACAAGTTGTGCGACTGGTAGTAAGCGACCATAACATTTACAGTGCCACTTAGAGCTTTCAATTACAAAAGTCTGAAGGGCAATGCCACTGCGCCGTCACCCTGAGACATAAGGTGACAAGTCCCATGTGTCTGTAATTTCAGCTCAGCAAAACTGGAACGCAGTAATGTTCACATTACTGCTTGGCGGCAGAAATAGGTAAGGTGGCAGTGCTTCCTTGGACGAACTCTTTCACAAAGAGCTCTACTGCTACTAAGAATGCTTTAGGCTCAAAAACAAGTTACTCTATTTCAATAACTTTTTCAGATTTAATTTTTTTAAAGTACAATTTCCTTACTTACTAAATAAAACAAACTCGAGCTAAGTAAAATCGCAATGGTTTTTTGAATTAAACTACCCATTCAGTTCTGAATTCAGTCGGCGACAGGAAGTGCGAGTTGGAAAAATGGCCGCATATCCGGTACGGTAATGGCGTCGTGCTCTGTACTAGACGGCACACTTCCGGTTGTGTACGGGTTAAAGAAAATATTTTATATAACGACATTATTCGCGAAAGAAGTACTTAAATTGTAAGGCGTTGATTTATGAAAGAAGCTCACCTAAATCTTTTGTAAGCGGATATCTTTTCGACATAAGTTTTGTTGTTTTAATGAAAGAAAGGAGTTTTGATGATGTTAAAAATAACGTATATTACATCATCAAGAGTTTATCCCTTACATTAACCTTCTAAGTGTCAACAAACTACAGTGGGAAAAACGCTAATTGCCCAATGTACAGTCAACAGCACATCAAACTACACATTGACGTATCTTGTTCCGTTGCACTGGAGGCGATTTTCGAACAAAAATTCTGAAGCGCTGTCGTCCGTACATTAAAATAGTAGTTTATGTGACTGTTACATAATGAAAGGCATTAAAATACGAGTGAGAGTTCAAAAAAACATCTCACGAGTGTTTTTAATGCCTAATTATGTACAGTTACATGCACTGCTTTATCTACACACATATTATAAGCTCTCAGTGATGTGTTCAGGAACCACATGTTACGACTGGCGAAATGGCGGCAAATAAAAACTTTTCTCACGCATGTCACACAACCGTACTTTTTATTTTTAATTCATGGACAAACCAGAATCGGCCCCAACTATCATAACGTTCGATATCAAGTAATGTTTGAAATTGTCAAAATTGTTTGCTGTTGACATTACATTTCGAATAAAACTTCATCTCGACTGATATTAGAATTGAGGTCCAATCAAATTGTTTTGTTTCTGAGAGATGTTCGAAATATGAATGTAATAATAACATCCAATTCGATGTTATTATGAAGCAATAATAACATTTTCACATATCTGTGAAATTAGAACTTTCTTATCAGAAATTTGTTCTAATAAAACAGAAGAACACATTATAGAGAGTTTATGATATGTGTGTAGATAAAATGCATAGTATTACAGGCTTCAGTTTTGTATGAAAAAAAATGTCGCTAAATATGAGAAGCGGTGGTACCCTAATGGTTTGATCTTCGACGTCTCAAGCAGAGACCCTGGGTTCGAATCTCTCGACCACACTTCTGAGTTTTTCAATGAAGGAAAACATCGTGATGATATCTGCACGTCGAAAAAAGTCCACAACCCTTGGGAAACGTGAGAAGTCCCCAACCCGCACTGGACTAGCGTGGTGGACTATGACCTAAATTTTGATAGCGTCATTTTCATAAAGTACACTGGAGGTTTAATATGGTCTGAATCTGGATCACTTCATACGTTATTTATATTTTGATGTACACGGCTTTGGAATTCTCTTAGACAAGTAAATTACTACATATAATTATTGTCACCCTTACTCAGGTTCCTGAATAAACAAAGCAGCGTAACATTTACCTCTGATGCTATTATTCTTATGCAAGTCTTCCCATTAGCGGTACTTACCCATTATTACGATGTGACCTTCTTACATCGTCATCCTACCTTTTTATTGCCTTTTCTCCTGTTCCTGGCCACTCGTTTTTAAATTTTGAATCGTTCTTTGATAATTTCTTTTGCCTCGCCATTCTGATTTTGTTTCGTTCTATCGTCAATGGCTGCTCGACCGCGGCAGCGTACAGTCTTCTCTTTAATTTTTTGAACCGTTTACCAGTTACTCGTGCGTAAAAATCTCTCGTGCATTAAACGTTTTAAAGATCACAAATATTAATAAAACGGGAAGAATATTTACAAAACTGGATTTATTACCACTGTTTCTATACCCTTTAAAATTTTCAACTTTAAACTCGCAAGCAAGATGTGTGGAGGCTGCGGAGGCTACTACTCTTCTGCCACTTTACAACCTACAGAACATTTCAAGCGGTACACGCTTTCAATTATAATGCAATAAAGACGGATTTGTAAGGCCATTTCAAATCAATTTAAACGTTCATTCATTTGTTTCCTTACTTACTTACTCATACCATCACTGAGTGAATGAAAGAATCACTTATTGTAAATGAAACTATTATTTCAGATCTAACTCACGTATTGACGATATCCGTGGTAGAGTAACTTACACTTGGTGTCGCCATCTCTAAGGTCACAGGTTCGATGCCCGGCCGAGTCAATGTAGAAACTAATTTTTCTGTATTGTATCGGGTCTGTAAGTTTGTGGTACCGTTGTTGTTTCGGATTTCCAAAACACAGGTACTTTAGTTACTTACTATGAGATCAGACATTTTACATTTTTTAAACTTTTTTACCGACTCCAAAAAAAGGATGTTCTCAATTCGACTGTACGTTTTGCTTTGTATGTATGTTACGCGATAACTGCCTCCGTTGCCGAACGGTTACCATGCCGGACTGCCACGCAGAGGTCCCAGGTTCGATTCCTGGGCCGGGTGAAATATTTGTATGACCTACATTTATTTCTCTCGTGAGTTTGGGTGTAATTTGTGGTTGTCTATGTGTGTGTCCACGGCACCCGCGACCCAGGATTTCCCTAGTGCGGGGCTATGTTGAGTGTATGCGTTATTATATTATTATATTAACTCCGACCAATTTGTGAACCGATTTCGATGATTCTTTTTTTTGTTGGAAAGAGGGTCCCTCGGTAGTGGTCTTATTACATTTTTAAGAAAATATCCCACCTCCAAGGGTGGCTGTTTACGCATGAAGATTTATTTTTATAAATAGCATAATTTCAATAAGAAAGACGATATCCAAAATACTAACCTTAGAGCTAAGTCCAAACTCATGTTATATACCTACCACGATTTCGTTTAACCAAAGTAAACGACTCTTTTATAGAGGAACGTATACATTTTTACAATAAGGTTCCGAAGCATATATTAAGATTATCATTTCATAAGTTTAAAAACTACATTAAAAATATTTTTATTGAAAAAGCATATTACAAAATTGAAGACTACGTGTTAGATAAAGATGTGTGGAAAGACGACATGGGTCCAGATTCCATATAAATTCAAAGCGTAATTCATAGCATTTAAGTTTATTTGAAAAGAGCAATCCCTAGAGTTTCTTGCTCGTTCTTCTCAAGGAAGTCAGCGTATCACTACATTCACACGAGCTGTAGCTTAAATGTGACGTTTTCAAGTGTAAATTTATTTTGCCTATGGAATAAATTATTTTTCTTTGACTTTGACTCTCTATCCTGGTCACTACATCATCTTTCGTATCACAATGCTCTCTTACTACACTGTTCGGCGTTTTGTCTTTAAGACTAAATGACCATAAAACATTATCAAAACACGACGACATCCAATAAAAATAAAATACCATGTTGTAATTAATATTGATAAAATGATCACAAGATTATAAATACTTGTATATGACAAATAAAATACGGAGAACACTCTCAAAAGAATATAGAAAACGTTTTTTCTACCGTGATGTATGTGCTTTATTATGCGGGAAAAGCTTTGGCGGCATGTGCTCTAAAATGACCAAACTTTGGGTTGAATATATAAACCCTATAAAATTATTGAGAACGGCTACTTCTAGAGATGGGCGAGCGCCCGGGTTTTAATTGGATTAAAACCCATTAACGACCGAAATCGCGGGCAAAAACAATTTACAACTAAATATTGAAATAAGTACAATAAAAGCTTAAATACTAGAAAGTAAAACTAGGATTAAATTATATGAATAAAGCTGGGTCCCCGCGGCAAGATGCCCAAGATGCTGGCAGCTTTCCCTCTTTGTATATCTATGCTAATGCGTTGGGCAAGGTAGCTGCCGGCGGTTGAGTTTCTCGGACAGTCTATTGATTTTTTGGATAAAATTTTGTACAGGTGGAAGGCACAGGGACCGCACGGGCCAAGGATTTCGACTTGAAAGGCTGTAAATAGATAGTCGGAGCCGAGATCCTAGTACTTATTACTTTTATTCTTTTCTAGTTCAGTTGCGGACCCAGCCCTCTTGCTGGTGTGCTGGAGAGTATAGCAAATACGGTCGGGAATAAAATAATTAAATTAGATAAGTAAACTTAAACATTTTGCATTTTTTTTATTTTAACAGTTATTTTATATTTGTAGTGTCCAGACTTTCTGAATAAATTGTAAATGATGTGATTATTTCTGTGATTTTTAATTACTGTATGGTATTGGAAATACTTATCTAATGTTCAAGACTGTTTTTTTTAAGTAAGATCTATACTTTTATCATTAAATTCGATTTTATTCCCTGTAGATGGTGGCTGTAAATAAACATTCCATTAATGTTATATTCCATTTGTTTTTTTTTACCAGTGCCAATTACTGGGTTGATTGTAAATTCCATTTGTCGCCAGTGGCAACAACATATCTTTTTATCCTATCCGCTTACGCGATGCCCTCCTCCTACCGCAAAATGGCGGCCATTTGGTTTCGCAAAATACAAAAGGATTCAGTTTAAATACAAGTTTTTTATAAATAAAAATTATTATTCTGCATTGCTAAATAAATACCCTCCGTACTACTAACAAAAACATCTCAAATAAAATGCAGTAATACACCGCAAATCCTGCACTTAAAAAGCACTAATGAAATTTTTGGTGTAATTGGATAAATATGATAATATTCCGTTTGAGTGGTTCTAACGTTTACCATGAAATTACTCCTTAAAGTATAGTTTATAAACATTTATATTCAGGGTAAACTTAAAAAACGCTACTTACGGTATGTTTTCAATAAATAAACACCGAAATCACCAGCCCAAACATAAACACACACGATTGTCGTGACGTATTTTTGAAGTTGTTTATTTTTTTTAAATGACAGACCCAGGCATTAAAAACTTTATGGTTTGCTAGATAAGTTACCGAAATAGCTATTAATATTAGTTCTTTTACCTGTTATAACTTCGATATCCGATAAATCAGCATAAAATCATCACCGGCACCGCTAAGTGTGGTATGCGTCTACGGCTGCATGTATCGCGTGAGCGGATATTTGTCACCACCTGGTAACATATGGGTACTTTATCCCATTTGTCACCAGTGGAAATCACCACTGGCAACAACTGAGATTTTTTATCCCGTTTGTCATCATCTGGTAACATATGAGATTTCTTTTCCATTTATCACCAGTGGGAACAAAGCCAGTAATAAGTGTGGAATGTTACCATATTCTGTATTATTTTACGCGCATAATGTTTCGGTCCACAATTTTGGGCAGTAATGGGTTAAAATCCGGTTAAACACGGATGGGTTGTCTGGAGTTTAACCCACTGCCCATCTCTGGCTACTTCTAAATTGAAAGCCGGTTCAAACCCTTATAGCGGCAAGTACCTACGCTTCAAATTTTTAACTTACGTATATTTGTGAATATTTAGTAGGAATACCTCTTGTTAATGGTGAGTTACTAAACTTGTAGTCATAACTAAAGTTATATCCAGTAGATTTAGTAGCAGTAGAGCTCCTTGTGAAAGTGTTCGTCCAGAGAAGTACTGCCACTGTACGTAAATATTGCTGCCGATAATCAATAATGGAGCATTAATTCGTTTCGGTCTTGAAGGGTAAATTTGTTAGTGAAATTATAATGCATATGGGCCTTGTCAACATTATTTCTCAAGGGCGGTGCTCCTCGGGTTATTGCGATTTAGGCTGCTACTAGGTAGACTGCATGCGTGAAGTCTATATGCAACAGCAAGCAGTCAAAACAAAAAATGTAGACCAAGTTATTTCAGACTGTGAAGACTTTGTTTCTATGGATTCAGCAAATGAAATTACTTGAAAACCTTTGTAATGTGTGTTCTACGTTCTAGTAATTTTAGTTACAATAAAAATCTAAGGTAAGTAATACGTGTGAGCACGCTTAGCTATGATGGCGGGATGACTCTAGGGGGGCGTGGACAGCCCAGCAGCGCCGGAGTTTTTTGCGTTAACACAGACACAAAAAAGTCTATGTTCTCTTAAGAATGTCAACTGCTACTTTGGGAATATCGTTCACATCGACTCTCAACTGCACGCAACTGAAGTATCGACTGTATGCAGTTGATCACAATTGCACGCGTGATATGATTATTATGTAGACGTGCAGGCCACCTTAAAGCACATAGTGGCACTGCAATTGTTATGGGTAGGCGTGGCGCTTACCACCAGATGCACGACGTCTTTCGTCTCGTCACTTAATATTACAAAAAAAAGTAGGACAAGGAGCGGCTTTTCTCTGTCTTTCAGACTGTTAGATTACAGTTTTTCCTCTTCCGCAAAACCTGCTGTCAAGGGTTAACGATTACCGATCTTTTTCAGATGCTGTTTTCCAGCGTTTTGCCATTATAAGCTGAGATGTGGGTTTTATTTTTTGCCTATTTCGGAGTTGAGAACTTCGCCTTAGAAATTAAGGTGTATATCAGTGATTCCCAAAGTGGTCCAGGTGGACCCCCAGTGGTCCACGGGAGACTTGCTGGGGGTCTACGTAATCGTGAACAAAAAATGGGGGTCCATAGGATGTTAATGGGGGTCCACGAAAAATTATCTGCTTTTGATAGTAAAGAGCAAAAATGTAAGCATAGTTTTATAAGGGCCTACCTACATTGTTTTAAGTACATAACTAAGCAGATAATATTTTAATAAGGCAAGCGACTTTTACTTGTCCAAACTTGCGTATTCGATATTACGTACAATTTCGTGTACGTACATGTACAGACTTGCAAAGCGCTATCCGCCCGACAATGCTTAATGCTTGTTCAGACATGAACTTGATCACTACTATAAATACTTGATGCCAAAGGCAAACTCATTCATTTGTTTCCGGAATTTCGAAAAAAAGGTTTGAGATAATTTATATCAGTGTTTGTTAGTGCCGGAGAAAAGTAAGTAAATACTTTTTTTTTGTTTTTGTTTACGTGTACTAGTCGGTTGATCACAACTGCTTGTATAGATAGGTAACTTAGGAACTTACAGATATTTTAATTGTCCTCTTTCGATTTGAAGACAAACACAGCACGTTTTATTCAATTGTTTTTTCGCGAGAGAAGCACTGCCTCTCTAAAAAGGCCGAATAAGCAATAGCAATTAATTTCTCAATTTTTCTTGCAAATAACTACTAATTTTATAAAACGGTATAAAAAAGTCACGTTTTAACAATGAAGGCGCAGACAAAAAATACGCAAATACATCATTGATTTGATGAAATGTTAGTTATCGTTTTTATGGACAATTTTGGGATTTCGACTTTTATTTTTTCCTACACAAATATGATCAGTATTCGATACTGAGTACACCCATTTTTATTTGTACTATTAAAAATTAGTGGTAATTTAGGTACTTTAAAATTGATACCGTTTTGTGAAAACGTCTGTATTTGTCTTAGCGGTTATTAGTTGGCCCCTTAACAAGCCGTAATTCTATTTCTGCGTGCTGACAAAGGCTGCGGTGTGATACCTATATTCAGAAAAAAACTTGGTTACTAAAACATTCTTTTTTACAGGTAAGTAACACGAAACATGGCTACAGCAAAGAAAAAATGTCGACAATATAGTGTCGATTATTTGAAATATGGTTTTGTTCCATCAGAGGCAGACAAACAATTGCCCATGTGCCTATTATGCAACAAAGTTTTGAGCAATGACTCTATGAAACCATCAAAGCTCGAAGATCATCTAAAAAGGTGTCATACTGACAAAATAGGTAAAGATTTAAAATATTTTCAAACATTGAAGGAAAAATATGAAAAGAGACCCACCATGCACAGTATGTTCGCTTCAACATCTCAAAGTAACGATGACGGCTTGCGGGCATCTTACAATATCTCAT